ATAAAAAGAGTATGAAAATGGGAACTCCCCGCCCAAGCAATAAAGGGGACACTGTGTATGATTCCGGAAAGGGCAAATATTCCCATGCCCCGACCTCAACACTAGTTCCAACATCAATCTAAACCATTGCCTTCATCTTAGCCCGAACCTAAATTCTAACACTAGAGTTGACAGATAGCATTGCGAGCAAAGACAAAGGAGACTGGAATGGCCATTTCTGGCTCATTAGCCGTCGTCAGCCAGTCATACCCAGACCCAATTGGTGCCCCACTGGAGCCTCGAAATCGCGACCTTTCTGGTCAGAGTCAAATCCCCTGACCATTGAGCCACGAGCTCGTTGTCTAGCCGGTTCGGGTCATGACTGCTAACGGGACTCATCTGTCCCGCTCTGCCTTGGATCTCGCCAGAGGCCCTGACAGCCGTAACAGCTGGTAGTATAGGCAGATATTATTGCCGGTAAGGACAAGGGAGACTGGAATGGTCATTTCTAATCCCAAAACTTAACCCCAAACTCAAACGTAACCCTAAACTTAACACTAAACTTAACCTTAGCCCTAGCCCCACCCTTAAACCCATACCCGATTTTGCTCCAATTTGGCGTGAAACCCTTTCTATTGTGATCGATGGCCGCTCTCATTTCCTGGCTAGGAAACCATATAAGTATTCCGTATGAAATACAAAGTCAAAAACATTAGCTTTGTTGCCGAATACTGTCTTCAGAGCTTAGAAGGGTCTTTTACATGTCTTATGAGGCCCTGGCTCGCTTTGCTTCGTCAGTGAACTTAAGGATGCACTCCTCCGGACCCCCGCCCCAATCGAGAAGTTGTGCTCGACTGCCTTGTCACACTAGTCAAATGACGTGCTGCCGCCAAAGATGATGGAGACTGAAATGTACGCTTCTGATGTGGTAGACATCGGCAGCTAGCCATATTTATATCCAGACTTACTGCTTCAATTCAGGACGGATTTATTAGTGCGTCAGTGCCGCTGTTTTGTCCTGAACCCAGTTCTTCTTAGTTACGGCCGAGCGAGAACTGTGGTTGGGTATCTATCCAGATTGCAGAAACGATTAGGTATGTGCCATTTGGTCTTAGGGTCCTAGTTAGGTCCTCGCAGGTCGCTACAGAACGATGTGCAGTCACTACGTTAGATGCTTTATCGACTATATTAGGTCAGCTGAAATTGCCGTCTCGAATAGGTATACACCAAACATACCAGAACGGCATTTCTGAGTGCTTGGTTAGTTTACTAAATCCGCTAGTCAAGGCAGTTCAGTGCCAAGGGGTTCAGATAAGAAGAGCGGTGTAGAGTGTCATACGTTCTTCACTTTCTCCCGCCTACTAGTTAATGTTCTGAAGATCAACTGGGCGTTTTTGTGGGCTAGACGTTCCCCCTGCCAAAACACAGGATCGATGAACTGTGCAAGGGCGTACGTCTTTCTGCAGTGTCGTCCAGTACGTGACCCAACCAGCAGGTTTTTTTATAGCCCGATAGATAGGCGGAAAATAAAAGAGAACCGGTTTCTGAGACCAGCTACTTTATTCAAAGCCAACAGAAATAGTGGACTTTTTAGTTTGTCAATTCTAGCTAACTTATGGGGCTCTGGCCGCTCTGGAACAGTCTTGTAAATGGCTTGTGGTGAGCATTCTGGCCTACGGCGTGCCACAAGCTGAGTAATCGTTTCCCACGCGTCACGCGTGCTCAAAACAACAGCGCACGCGCGTGCGACTCAGCTGACTTGGCCTCATGTGGCGCCTCTTGCCACGTGATCTTTTCTGTTTAGGCTGCGAGCACTTTGCGGTTCCCGTCTCCGTAAAAGGTTAAGTTCGATCGCTCGAAGTGCATCCACGAAAGTGAAACAGGACGTAGGGGGAAAATTGAGCAGAATGTAGCTCATCGCTAGCATAATGTCTACGTCGTCGTTAAGGTGGTCGTTAAAAACGCATATTTTGCGTTTAAAAGATGAATTCATGGTAAGACTGAACCTCTTTTCCAGTGCCCCTATTGTCTGCCCGCCCCTGCACCTTGTGCCGTTTAAATTCATTAATTTGTGAAGAAGGCTTTTAATCAAACTAACACCCCCTCTCTCTCCCTTCGTTTGTAGGATGCGGACATGCTATTCGACCTCATTGACGAGAAGACCATTGAGAACAAGAAGCTGCGAGAACAGCTTCGCATACTCGACTCCAGTTACTCAGAGCTGCAGGCGGACCTGGCAGA